TTTTTTTTAAGATGAAGTCTTACTCTGTTGCCCAGGCTGGAGTTCCGTGGCATTATCTCTGCTCACTGTAACCTCACCTCCTGGGTTCAAGCAATTCTGCCTCAGCCTCCCGAGTAGCTGGGATTATAGGCATCCACCACCATGCCTGGCTAATTTTTGTATTTTTAATAGAGACAGGATTTTATGTTGGCCAGGTGGTCTCGAACTCCTTACCTCAAGTGATCCACCCACCATGGCTTCCCAAAGTGCTGGGATTATAGGCGTGAGCCACCACGCCCGGCCAGGTAGCCTCTTAAATTAACGTCTCTAGCCTTGACTACTTCTTACAGCCACAGAAATATTTACCCATATGTCTATTGCATGTGTCCACTTGATGCCCCCACAGTCCTTTGGTCCTGGGTTCAGCTTTTCTCCTGAAACTGCCCTTGTTCTTCTATGGTCCCCGCTCAGCAAATATCTCTATTCTTCCCAGTCACTCAGGCTCAAAAGCTTGAAACCTCTTGAGTTAACCCTTGATCCTGTCGTCCACATCCCATTGGTGGTTACTACCTCTATGGAATCTGCCCAAGATCTTCTTTTGTAATTTTCCCTCCTTCCCCAGGTTCTCATTGCATCCTGCCCTTTCTTTGGCTTCCCTGCATCTCACACACACACACACACACACACACACACACACACACACACGCACCCAACTATGAGCCAGGTACTATGCTAGTATTAGGAATTCAGCTGTGAACTAAAAAGACAAGGTCCCTGCTCTCAAGGAGCTCAGGTCTGGTGGGTGAGACAGAGGAGGGAACAAGTAATTGTCACTTACTGTGATGAGTGCCTCAAGGATAAAGTACGGTGTGTTTGCAGTAGGAGCCCTTTAGAAGAACTGCCATCCAGAATTAAAGAGTCAGGCACAGATTTCCAGTGGAAATGGCATTTAAACTTAGGTCTCAAAATGGAAACAGAAGTCAGCCAGGTAAAGGCTGGAGAGAATAAAGAAGGCAAGTGAAGGAGACAAGCACTAGAGGCCAAGAACATAGATGGGCAAACATTTGGGAACTGGAAAGAGCAGGGTTTACATGGGGAACTGCTGGTAATTCAGTACGGCTAAGGCATAGAGGGTGAAGAGGAGTAGTGAGAGATGAGGCTGGAGGGATAAGCAAGGCCCAATTCGTGCAGGGTCTCTAAGGAATTTCCAGTTTATCTTCAGAGCACTGGGGAGTCACTGTGAGTTGCTATGAGCAATGAAGGAACACAATCAATATGCATTTTTAAAAATATTACCTACAGGCTGGGCGTGGTGGCTCATGCCTGGAATCCTAGCAGTTTGGGAGGCCAAGGCAGGCAGATTGCCTGAGCTCAGGAGTTGGAGACCGGCCTGGGCAATGTGGCGAAATCCCGTCTCCACTAAAACACACACACACACACACACACACACACACACACACACACACACACACACACTAATTAACTGGGCGTGGTGGCACACACCTATAATCCCAGCTACTGGGGAGGCTGAGGCACAGGAATTGCTTAAACCTGGGAGGCGGGGGTTGCAGTGCTGAGATTGCGCCATTGCACTCGGCAAGACTCTGTCTCCAAAAAAAAGAGGCCGGGCAGTGGCTCATGCCTGTAATCCCAGCACTTTGGGAGGCTGAGGCGGGCGGATCACGAGATCAGGAGATAGAGACCATCCTGGCTA